TTTAATTTATAAAACAAGTGTTTTTTCTTCTTCATGACCATGAAATTACCATTTTTTCTTTTTTCTTTTTTCTTTTTTTTAATAGGAAAGGGCCAAATGATTCAAAATACAATATATGAAACAAGGGAATGAGGAAAGGGGTCATATTGTCAGGTTGGGGGAAATAAAGAGGAGGGAAAGGGGACAAGAATTTTTTTTTTTTTTTTTTCATTTCATTCCCACCATTATTTACTCTTTATTTTGATGAATAATTAAATTAAAAAATAAATAAAATAAAGTAAATTTTTCTTCTCCATCTTATAATTCTTTTATAATTAAATAAATTTTTTTTCCTTTTCAATTTACTCAAATCAAATATATTATATATATATTTTTTAAACAATGTTGTCATGAACGGACCGAACCCGCCCAAAGGAGGAGGGGGATGCACCTTGAGGTAATGGTTAGGAAGGATGAAGTTTCGGTATTTTTTTGGGTTCGATTAATTGGGCCTGTGGAGTTTAAGTCCATTTCTTTAGAAATTACGCTTAAATTCAATGCATGTTAGGTCCGAAACAAGGGAGATGAATTGAGCCTATGTAAGGAGACAAGGATCGAAGATATTTCATGGGTTTTATTGGAATGGGTTTTGTTTGGACCATAGTCTGGGAGCTCACGGATTTGAGGTAGTAATTCAACCCAATTCAATTAGTTTCCTTCTTCTTCAGTGCGGTTTAGATCTATACATTTTAGGAATAAAAAGCAAACAGATAATGCTTGGATCAGTAGAAAAAATCAAGCGCAATCCAGGCAGTTCCAACAAGCATAATCCTAAGTTTTTTTGCTGCCGAAATTTTGTTTTGGCAATCAAATTATCGAGTAACGGAGTTAGTTTTGGAGTTGTTTCGATCATGTTCAATCGTGGAAGGTGGTAAAAATCGGGGTCAAGAATTTAGGCAAAATAAGTGCAGTTATAGAGGCCTATAAATATAAGTTTTTGACACATTTTTTAGTTTTTAGGCTCGCCCCTTTCCACAAATCACTTTACTTTTCAAAGTCCTATACTTTACCGAATATATGTTAATTTAATTTAATCTACTTAGTTTTCTTGTAGTTCAAAATTACTTTCAAAAAATTTTCTTTAGATTCATAGTCTAGTAAAGGTAAGACGGCATTCCCCAACAGATTCCTTTGCAATGTTGATTTAATTTTTCTTAAGATGAATCTCTACAGCATCTTATTTTCTTATTTGCTTCTACTCAACATTTCAATTGTTAATTATTTGATTTTAATTCAAGCATGTCTCCAATTTCCTTTAAATTTAAGGTTTTTTACATTCTCGTTGCAATATGCAAATTGATTGGATTTTTAACTTACTGCACTTCTAGATTTCTACCCATTTACATATTTTTGTTAGATTTATGTTTCCAAGCATTTTGCAGCAATTAGTTGCTTTAGTCCTTAATATTATATCGCGATTTACATTTTGCCGAGCTTACGCATTTCGTTGCACTTTAAGCTTTGAGCAAGTTCATGGTCCTAGTTCTCTATTTTTATGCCAACAACATAAATTTCCATTTAGCTATAGGTATTGCACCTTTATTAATTTCCAACACTTATCTTTTAGTATAGGTGTTCTCTGCCACTTTTAATTTATTATATATTTATATATATATATTTATTGTAATCAAAGTCCTTAAAAGTATTTTCAAGGTAAGTTTGAATTGATTGTGCAAGAATTAATCTTCATTTATGTCAATTGTGTGATTCAAGGTGCAATTCATTTCAAACAACATTCTTCCAATAGTCTTTTCACAAGGAAAAATCAAATAGAAGAAGAGGGTAGTAAGCAAATCCTTTTCCTACCTTTCCTTCAAAGGCAAGTGACATGCAAGAATAATATTGTTTACACTATAAACTGTAAATTTATCTAATGATGCCATGTATCACATTGTTTGAAATGGTGATTAAGATCAAGTCACCTTGAGTAGATTTGGCTAATGGTTGCCATGTGTTTGACCAGATTTGGTATTTTTGGCAATTATCTCCTATTTACCTAGCATTATTTAACGTCAGTGGAGATCACAGTTAAATTTTAAAAGAAGTTGCAAGAAGTTTAGCAAGTGGTTGAAGTGGTAGACAAGTGATAATTTTTGGAGAGGATTTTGACTAGGTCTAGTGTTGAGTTGTCCAATTAACCAATGAAATCTATCATAATCAACACATATAGGAGTGAGTGGTTACCATCTATTTAGAGATATGTAAACGAAAGACATTTAGAACAAGCAACAAGCGGCCAATCCTACACACAACTCATCAAATTCAATTTTCCAGTTTTACAACTATTGTTTACATAACTTTTATATTTTAGTTTTAACACAACTTCTAGTTAGCTTTAGGTTAATTCTAGCTTCTACAACAATCTTTTTCTTTATTTAGTAATTTTAAGATAAGTGTCATTTCGTTAAATGTTAACCTATATAACCTTTACGCCTCTCATTCATGTTTTGTTGACTCAATGTACTCCAAGAGAGGGGTGAATTGGAATTCCAAAAAATTCTCCCCTTTTGCAACAACAAAACCAAAATCAAAGAGAGTAAAGAAGAAGAGCTTGCTCAATGATTTTATAAAGGTTCAGTCCAACCATTTGGAGCCTAATCCTCTACCTTAGCTTCACCCACCAAGGATTTCCTTCACACTTTCCACTAATAAAAACTTTGGTGGTTTAAACAAGCCACTCAATCTTTTTACAAAAAGATGAGTATTTCTCTCAAACTTCACTCTTTTATAATATAAACCCCAAGAATCCTTTCTATAGATCACTTTTGAAGAAATAATCACACCCCAAAGAAAATACACTAATAGAACAAAAAGAGGATTACAGGCAAAGATCACTTAAAGATCAAAACTCAAGTTAAAGCACAAGTAGGTAGGTAAAAATATTCAATGCGAAGCTCTAAAACTTGTTTCAGATCTGTTACTAACCATATTTATAGCCCCTTACTCGAAAATAACCATTTTTAGCTGTTGGGGGTCATTTAATGCTCTGCAAGATGTGTAATTTCGAATTGCAGAATTGTCAACACAGCCAGCTTAAAAAATCTACAGCAACTTTTTGGGTTTCCTGCACATTCTGTTTTTCTCGAGAGCCAGTTGGAAAAACGTAAAGCCGGCTTTGGAATTCTGACTTTAAAAACATTAAATAATCTTTAAATAACTCAACCGTTGTGCATTAAATACACTGTCAGAGCTGGTTGCAAAGTCAAACACGGCTTTGCATCTATTTTCCACGCGCGCCAAACAACGGACTTGAAATTTTCACCAGTAGAGCCGACTCTCTGCAATTTTTTCTTCCAAAGCTGGTTGCAAATTTCCTAGAGCCAGCTGCAATTTTCCTTAAGCCGGCTCTCTGTACATTTTCAACCTTTTTGGTCCTTTTTAATGCAATCCAAGTTCACTTACTTTTGCAATCTTTTAGAAGTTTAACTACACACTTAAATGAACCAATTAGTCACTCAAATGTGTTTTGTAATCACCAAAATCATAAGTACAATATGTTCATCATACTTTCCATCTTTTTTTGCCTAAAAATCATGATTACATAACTTTACTCTAGATTTAAGTCCATTTACTTTTCTAGTTCTACAATGATATAGATAAATCCGCTAATAATTTGTTAGTTTATATTTCATTCATTTTATTTTAGATTTTTAAGTTTTAAATTAATAGAGTTGTTTTAAAGTTCTCAAAACTGTCCAAGGCAATTAGTAACTCATTTTGCAATAAAGCATCATTCCCTCTTGCAAATTGTCTAAAGGCACATAACTCAACTTTATAACCAATTTATTTTTTTACCCATCCTAATAGAGGTCAACCACGTGGAAAGAAATGGTGGTTGGGAAAATCCTACTTTCTTACTTTACAACAAAGCATGTGGCACTTCTGTAACCCAAGGCTACCTCACATGAATAAAGTCATTTGAGGAATTTTGAGGAAACAAATATTGTTTTAGTTTTTTTTTTTTTTTTTATGATATTTTATTAAAATAGATGTATTTTTTAAATATTTTTTCACTTAATTTTTTGCTAGTCCAACTAATAAACTCTATGTATACAAAAAGACAAAACATGATCTAAAATCTAGATCACATTGGACTACACAATTTAAATCAAGTTTTTTCTCATTTGTACCCTAAGGTTGCTTTAAGTGCAACTTTTTTGCAATAACTACTTGTAAAGAAATGAAAAAGTAAATATTATTTTTAACACTAGTACCATGTGAATGATTTTAATTATATAATTGATAAATTTAAAATTAACTTCTATTTTTATACAAATTAATTCTAAAAAAAATTAATTAATAAACTATTAACATGTGCTTTTTAAGATATATGTTAATAAACCCTTTTAACTATTAGATGAGAGAGGATAACTTTTAATATTGGATGAGAGTGAACCCTAAATATTGAGAGCTGTCCTCCCCCATTCAATACTTCTTGTTTAGTAGTTTAATGAAATTCAAACAGCGAAATTAAACACTCTTATTTATAATCTTTTTCTTTTGCAAGTAAACCTTTTTGTTTTTGTGACCTAACCTTTTGGCCAATGGTTAAAACCTCATGTTACACACACCTGTTTTTCTCCCCAAAGTCCCTCATGTCTTCAAGTATAGAGAGACAAGGGTGTAAAAGAGTCTAGCTTCAATCAAGATACGATTTTCATATGTTTTTTTCTCTCGCCCTCTTGGTTAGTCCCAAAAAAGATGCTTACTGGGTTAGAATCTAACCCTTCAACTTTGTTTCAATAATCAATTGGTTTCTCAAATTGAATTCTTAACCAATTTAAGTCTGGCACGGGTTGACCTAGAGGCCCTGGCTCCCAACCTCTAAACTTTTGAAAATTTGTTAATGAAGTTAATAATTTATATATATATTTTTTTCATTAGCTTTAAAATTTTCATTTATTTTATATAATTTTAGTCCATTGCAAGAAAAAAAAAATTTGTCAAAACTCTCATATTTACTGTCAATTTTACTTCCTATGAACTTTGTGTGTGTCTTAATTTAGGATGCAATATCAAGTTACCAGTGGATTGAGACACAATTAACATAATATCTCAGTTACACTGAAGGTAAACTAAAAAATAATTTCACATTGTCAATAACTAAATATAATGGAATCAACCCTTTACAATTCTTTAATGTTGGTATTTATATGATTAGGGATTCTATTCTAATGAGATTTGAATATCTAACTAACCCAATTCTACTTGAATAAGAAGATTAGAACAAGTAATATAAGCCCGACCCATCTTCTTTATTGGGGCAAGGATTAGAACCATTTAATTATTTAATACCAAGCAGTCTTTTATAAGTCAAAATGCTGATATGTTCCAGCCATTTCTACAGTTGTTACTCTCAAAAAGTAGTGTATTCCATAGAATTATACAAATACAAAGCCCTCTGAGGGAAAAAAAAAAAAAAAAA